GGACCAAATACAGGAGCACCCAGATACATAAGGCAAGTTCTTAATGACTTACAAAGAGACTTAGACTCCCACACAATAATAGTGGGAGACTTTAATACTCCACTGTCAATATTAGACAGATCAACCAGACAGAAAATCAACAAGGATACCCAGGGCTTGAACTCAGACCTGGAGCAAGCAAACCTGATAGACATTTACAGAATTCTCCACCCCAAATCCACAGAATATACATTCTTCTCAGCACCACATCACACCTACTCTAAAATTGACCACGTAATTGGAAGTAAAGCACTCCTCGGCAAATGCAAAACAACTGAAATCATAACAAACAGTCTCTCAGACCATAGTGCAATCAAGTTAGAACTCAGAATTGAGAAACCAACCCAGAACCGCACAGCTTCATGGAAACTGAACAACTGGCTCTTGAATGTTGACTGGATAAACAATAAAATGAAGGCAGAAATAAAGAAGTTCTTCGAAACCAATGAGAACGAAGACACAACATGCCAGAATCTCTGGGACACATTTAAAGCAGTCTCTAGAGGAAAATATATAGCAATAAGTGCCCATATGAGGAGAATGGAGAGATCCAAAATTGACACCCTATCATCAAAATTGAAAGAGCTGGAGAAGCAAGATCAAAAAAACTCAAAACCTAGCAGAAGACAAGAAATAACTAAGATCAGAGCTGAACTGAAGGAGATAGAGACACGCAAAACCCTTCAAAAAATCAATAAATCCAAGAGCTGGTTTTTTGAAAAGATCAACAAAATAGAGAGACCACTAGACAGATTGATTAAAAAAAAAAAAAAGGGAACAACCAAATAGATGGAATAAAAAATGATAAAGGGGAAATCACGACAGATTCCACAGAAATTCAAACCATCATCAGAGAATATTACAAACAACTCTATGCACATAAACTAGTAAACCTGGAAGAAATGGATAAATTCCTGGACTCCTGTGTCCTCCCAAGCCTAAACCAGGAGGAAGCCGAAACTATGAATAGACCAATAACAAGGTCAGAAGTCGAGGCAGCAATTAAGAGTCTACCACACAAAAAAAGCCCAGGTCCAGATGGGTTCACAGCCAAATTCTACCAGACACACAAAGAGGAGCTGGTACCATTCCTTCTGAAACTATTCCAAATAATCCAAAAAGAGGGAATCCTTCCCAAATCATTTTATGAGACCAATATCATCCTGATACCAAAACCTGGCAGAGACCCAACAAGAAAAGAAAGCTTCAGGCCAATATCCATGATGAACATAGATGCAAAAATCTTCAATAAAATATTGGCAAGCCGATTGCAACAGCAAATCAAAAAACTTATTCATCATGATCAAGTAGGATTCATCCCGGGGATGCAAGGCTGGTTCAACATATGCAAGTCTATAAACATAATTCACCACATAAACAGAACCAAAAACAAAAACCACATGATTATCTCAATTGACGCAGAGAAGGCATTCGACAAAATTCAACAGCCCTTTATGCTAAAAACCCTCAATAAACTCGGTATCGATGGAACGTATCTCAAAGTAATAAAAGCTATTTATGACAAACCAATAGCCAGTATCATATTGAATGGGCAAAAATTGGAAGCATTCCCTTTGAAATCCGGCACTAGACAAGGATGCCCTCTTTCACCACTCCTATTCAATATAGTTCTAGCCAGAGCAATCAGGCAAGAAAAAGAAATAAAGGGCATTCAAATAGGAAAGGTGGAAGCCAAATTGTCTCTATTTGCAGACGACATGATAGTATACCTAGAAGACCCCATCGCCTCAGCCCAAAAACTCCTGAAACTGATAAGCAACTTCAGCAAAGTCTCAGGATATAAAATCAATGTGCAAAAATCACAAGCATTCCTCTACACCAATAACAGACTTAAAGAAAGCCAAATCAAGAAGGAACTGCCATTCACAATTGCTACAAAAAGAATAAAATACCTAGGAATACAACTCACAAGGAACGTAAGGGACCTCTTCAAGGAAAACTACAAACCACTGCTCAACGAAGTAAGAGAGGACACAAACAGATGGAGAAACATTCCATGTTCATGGTTAGGAAGAATTAATATCGTGAAAATGGCTATACTGCCCAAAGTAATTTACAGAATCAACGCTATCCCCATCAAGCTACCATTGACTTTCTTCACAGAACTGGAAAAAACCACCATGAACTTCATATGGAACCAAAAGAGAGCCCGCATAGCCAAGTCAATTCTAAGCAAAAAGAACACAGTGGGGGGCATCACACTACTGAATTTCAAACTATACTACAAGGCTACAGTAATCAAAACAGCATGGTACTGGTACCAAAACAGAGACATAGACCAATGGAACAGAACAGAGGTATCGGAGGCAACACAACATATCTACAACCATACAATCTTTGATAAACCTGACAAAAACAAGCAATGGGGAAGGATTCCCTGTTTAACAAATGGTGTTGGGAAAACTGGCTAGCCATGTGCAGAAAGCAGAAACTGGACCCCTTCCTGACACCTTACACTAAAATTAACTCCAGATGGATTAAAGACTTAAACATAAGACCTGGCACCATAAAATCCCTAGAAGGAAATCTAGGCAAAACCATCCAGGACATAGGAGTAGGCAAGGACTTCATGAACAAAACACCAAAAGCATTGGCAACAAAAGCCAAAATAGACAAATGGGACCTAATGAAGCTCCACAGCTTCTGCACAGCAAAAGGAACAGTCACTAGAGTGAATCGGCAACCAACAGAATGGGAAAAAATTTTTGCAGTTTACCCATCTGACAAAGGGCTGATATCCAGAAGAACTCAAACAGATTTACAGGAAAAAAACAAACAAGCCCATTCAAAAATGGGCAAAGGTTATGAACAGACACTTTACAAAAGAAGACATATATGAGGCCAACAATGATATGAAAAAATGCTCATCATCACTGGTCATCAGAGAGATGCAAATCAAAACCACACTGAGATACCATCTCACGCCAGTTAGAATGGCCATCATTAAAAAATCTGGAGACAACAGATGCTGGAGAGGATGTGGAGAAAAAGGAACACTTTTACACTGTTTGTGGGAGTGTAAATTAGTTCAACCATTGTGGAAGACAGTGTGGCGATTCCTCAAGGCCTTAGAAATAGAAATTCCATTTGACCCAGCAATCCCATTCCTGGGTATATATCCAAAGGACTATAAATCGTTCTACTATAAGGACACATACACACGAATGTTCCTTGCAGCACTGTTTACAATAGCAAAGACCTGGAATCAACCCAAATGCCCATTGATGATAGAGTGGATTGGGAAAATGTGGCACATATACACCATGGAATATTATGCAGCAATCAGGAATGATGAATTTGTGTCGTTTGTAGGGACATGGATGAAGCTGGAGAACATCATTCTCAGGAAACTGACACAAGAACAGAAAATGAAATACCGCATGTTCTCACTCATAGGCGGGTGATGAAAAATGAGAACACATGGACACAGGGAGGGGAGTACTAAACACTGGGGTCTATTGGGGGGAAAAGGGGAGGGCTAGTGGGAGGGGGAGCTGGGGAGGGATAGCCTGGGGAGAAATGCCAAATGTGGGTGAAGGGGAGGAAGACAGCAAAATACACTGCCATGTGTGTATCTATGCAACTGTCTTGCATGTTCTGCACATGTACCTCCAAACCTAAAATGCAATAAAAAATTAAAAAAAAAAGATACAATGTTGTAAAGAAATGATTTCTTAATATGCATAAAAAGGATTTATGCCACAGGAAATGGAAGTGAAGAGAGGTCAAGTGACTTACTCATGCCACACAGCCCTGAGTGGGGCAGCCCTGGCCCAAATCCAGGCCTGTTGGGTATTAGAAATGGAATGCTTATTACCAGGTGTCACAAAGAAAAAATAGCATTCAGACAAAAAGTTTTCTCAGCAAGGCAATTTTACTTCCTGCAGAAAGGGTACTCCTGTTAACCATCTTGCCATGAGAGTACAATGAACAAAGGACAAACAGGCATATTTATTTATTACACATTGGGTCCTTATTGCTGTGTCCAGTCTCCATTGGTTGGGGCCAGACCTCACAATCTAAAACTAAACCTGATTGGCTAACAACTTTAAACTTTTCTAAATAGGTAAAGGCAATAGAGAAAAAAGGAAAAGAGGAAGTTGCTTACAAAAGGACTTAGAAAAGTAATAACATTCCCAAATAAAGAAGGGGCATAGGCTGTGAACTGGGGCATGGCTGTGAACCGGGGCATGCCTGTGAGCACATCCAGCATAAATATCTTGGTTAAAGTACAAGGACATGTACTACATGCCTGTGAGCATGTCTAACAGCTACATAGAATAGGGCTTAATGAAGAGTTAATAGCAAAAAGCAAGAAGGTTTACTTTTTGTTTAAAAGGAAGAATAATTTTTTTCTTTAAAACAAACTATTATTTCTAACATTTATTATGATTATTCTTTAATAAGAAGGGAAACTTTGAAGAGGAACTTTTTACTTTCTACATTGGGCTTAACCACTGGTCTTTGCTGTCTTCAGAACACTAAAATTATTTTACAGATGCAGTGTCTCAAACTCAGAGGTTTATCCACTTGCTGAAAACTGCATGATATTAAGTGATATAACCAGGAAATTCAGGTCTCTATAAGCAGATGCTGAGGGTTTCAATTCTTTTTTTTTTTTTGAGACAGAGTTTTGCTCTTGTTACCCAGGCTGGAGTGCAATGGCGTGATCTCGGCTCACCACAACCTCCGCCTCCTGGGTTCAGGCAATTCTTCTGCCTCAGCCTCCTGAGTAGCTAGGATTACAGGCACGCACCACCATGCCCAGCTAATTTTTTGTATTGTTAGTAGAGACGGGGTTTCACCATGTTGACCAGGATGGTCTCGATCTCTTGACCTTGTGATCCACCTGCCTCGGCCTCCTAAAGTGCTGGGATTACAGGCGTGAGCCACCACGCCCGGCCAATGATGCTGAGGGTTTCAATTCTGTGTGAGTTTTCTCCAGTGAAAAATGAGACCAGTTTTGGGGTGAGGTGGTGGGGCTAAGGGTGCTCCTTTCTCACCTGTTGTTCCACGAGCGTGTGGAGCCTGTAGCTGACAATGACTGTCCTGTTCTGTGCTGGAGTTTGGGAGCCCTGGCTTCACCTCTGATTACTCTCTTTCACACCAGATAAGCCCCTTTCCCTTGCTAGGCCCCAGTTTTCCCATCTCCATGATAAGGTGGCTAGAATAAATGAACACGTTTTCTGTACCTTTAGCCCGGAGAACAGGACCAGAGACCTCTCCAGGAAGGATGAAATGTAGCCTTCCCTCAAGAACATGGCAGCTCCAGATGAGGATCGCTAGTTGTGAAGGAGGATGATGTAATATCTTTTCTCACAGGAACCTGGAGTTGAATTGAAGAGCACTGAAGCCTGTAGATCTCCTTGGAAGAGCCCTGTTCAGAGTCTGAGGAGGTAAGTGACAGAGAAATCCTTCAGACAGCTGCTGGGAGAGACTTCTCTCTCCAACTGTTGGTAAAATCCATCATCTGGAAGAAGACAGAGCAGCTGGCAGCAGAGGGGAACGAGAGTGTGGGAAGGGAATGGGGGGCTAGCTAGGGTGCGGGTAGGATAAGACGAGTGAGGTATTCACATACTGCACACAAGTTAAGGGCCCAGCACCTGAAAACTCAATTATCAAGGTAAATAATATTTTAATGCAGTATTAAAAAAATCAAAATGAGCACAAACAAATCCAGGATAAACAAAATATCCAAATGTTAAATAAAGACAAGCTGTTGTTTGTCTGTTTAGTGGCCCTGCATCATTGTGCAACAAGAATTGATTCTGATCAGCCTGCCTCGCTGTTGCCCTCCTCTTTGCAGGGTTTATGGGGGTGGACAATGGTAGGAAAGTGGATTGGGCAATGAAGAGCTCTGTATATATGAAGTCATGTTATTTAATGGTAAAGCTTGCATTAACTATACCACTTAGTTTGAAAGATGGGAAGATATTTTGATTAGTGTATATACAGGTGCACGTTTTCTTTGCCTCAGACTCTGATGTGGCTCAGCTTGTATTAGGCCTGGGAGTCCTCAGATCCTGAGGCCCTGAAGCTTCTGGCTCCTGAGATCCTGAGTTCTTGAATTCCTGAGTTCCTTAGGTCCTGAGATCTTGAAGTTCTAGGTCCTGAGGTTCTGAGATTCGGGATCCTGAGATTCTGAGGTTCTGAGTTCCTGAGGGTCCTGGAACTTGGGTCCTGAGGTCCTGAGGACACTGGGTCCTGAAATTCTGAGATCTTGAGGTCCTGGGTGCTGAGGTTCTCCAATCCTGAGTCCTGAGGGTCCTGGGTCCTGATTTCCTGAGGTACTTGGTCCTGAGATCCTGGGTTCTGAGATCCTAAGGTCTTGAGGTCCTGAGGTCCTGAGCCCTGAGATTCTGAGGTCTTGAGGGACTTGGTCCTGAGGTACTGGGTCATGAAGTCCTGGGTTCTGAAATCCTGAGGTCCTGAGGTCCTGAAATCCTGAGTCCTATGGGTTCTGAGGTCCTGAGATTCTGAGATCCTGAGGTCTTGAGGTCCTGGGTCCTGAGGTTCTGAAGTTCTGCATCCTGAGGGTCTTGTGTTATGAGGTCCTGAGATCCTGTGGTCATGGGTCCTGAGTCCTGGGGTAAAAAGCACTGTTGTGGGGTTGGCTGGAGAAGAGATATTTTCACATGAGGTTTTCTTTCTTTCTTCTGAGTCTTTAAGAATCCAAGCTGCTTTGTAGACATAAACACACCAGCTTTTCTTAAAGATGTATGCATTTCATTGTGATGGGTAAGGCACAGAATTACCTTTGAAAGGTGAATAAATTGGCTTTTTTTTTCAGTATGAATTTTCTCAGAGAAAAGATACTAAAAGGTTGACTACAATTTTTGAAGAGTCCAAGAGATTTTTTGCTGGTACAATAAGGTCCTTGCTATCGTACCAATTGAAAAATGTAGAGAATGCAGATTGAGCGCACTGAACCCAAGGGTTCAGGGGCTGGGGTTACAAGGAGAAAGCAGGAATGTCCTAAGGGGATCCTTCCATGCCAGGGGAGATGCTGGGGTCCAAATCCTGGGACCAGAGAGCTTCACCTGGCTGGCTTTTCCTCTAGCCTGGAGTCCCACAGGTGCTGGTGGGAGAGTTGGAAAGACACTCCCATTAGACCTGATTTTCTGTTTTCTGCTTCTGTCAGTGTCTCTGGGGGAGACTTACCTAAGGCTAGTGGGGCCTTGGGACTTAAGAGAGTTTAGCTCCTGATTTTGGAAGAAAGCAGGACTCTGCCTTCTCCCTAAGCTCACCCCATGTCTGCAGAGTCTCATAGAGTTGTGGAGGAGAGGGTCCTCGGTATGTTGAATCCTGATACTGGGAGGTGTGAGTCAATCTCCTTTGCTTGAATCAATCTCCTCTTTTTTAAAATTAAAAATATTTTTAAAATTTGAAAATAATTTTAGATTTACAACAAAATTTCAAAAATAGTACTGAGTCCCTTTGTACCTTTACCCAGCTCCCCGAAATTATATTGTCTTCCATACTCACAGTATCATGATCACAACCATTTATGTGATAATCTAACTACTCTACGTGGTTTGCTCATGTTTTGCCAGTTGTCCACGTTGTGTTTAGTTGTCAAAGTTTTTTGTTTCCTCCAATCTGGGTTAGTCCTCAGTCTACCTTTTATGGCTTGGAAACTTTTGAAGAATACTGGCTGGCTGTTTCACAGACTGCCTCCTCACTGGATTTTGTCTGATGTTTGTTCACAATTACACTGAGGATTGCCTTTTTGCAAGAATCCTGCAGAACTGATACTGTATCCTCAGTAAAGCCTATCAGGAGACACGTAAAGTCAGTTCATCTTGGTTAAAGTGGTAACCACCAGGTTTTTATACTCATCTCATCTCTACCCCCTTTTTTTTTTTTTTTTTTTTTTTTTTTTTTGCTTTGAGACAAGGTCTTACTCTGTTGCCCAGGCTGGGTGCAGTGGCACAATCACCCTCACCACTTTCTACAGCCTTGACCTTCCAGGCTCAAGTGATCCTCCCACTCAGGCACATGCCACCATGCCTGCATAATTTTTTAAATTTTTTTGTAGAGATGGGGTAACTGTATGTTGCTCAAACTGGTCTTGAACTCCTGGGCTCAAGCGATTCTCCCACCTCGGTCTCCCAAAATGCTGGAATTACAGGTGTGAGACACCTTGCCTGGCCTCTCCCTTTCTTTACATGAGTCATCCCCTTCACTTACTGGCACAGTGGAAACAACTGGTCAGAATACTTGGGACAATTCTTCCCATACCTACATGCAGCACTTCCTGCCTAAAGCCATTCTCACATGTTACCTAATTTGAACTCACATCCTGGAGAGAGCCTCATTTGCAGGACCAGCTCATCCAATCAGTTTATTTTACTAATAGAAATGCAAACCTGGAGTTGGAAGAAAAGAAGAAATGGTGTTTGTGTTTTTTCTGCAAGTGAAGAGTGTGCTGGGTACTTCCCTGCACTGCTACATCTTATTTAAGAAGTTTCAGCTCCCCTTGTTTATCCTCACTTTATAGTGGGTGGCACAGAGTCTTGGAAAGGTGAGGAAAGCTGCCCAAGGTCACATAGCCAGGACATGGTCTGCTCGCAAGTCCATTCGTGTTTTTCCCTCAACATTTCCTTGTTCTCCAGGATCGGGTCTTGCTCAAAGTCACTGAACGATATCACTCTGCTGGGACATAAGCCCGAACTCCTGTACCACCCCACTAGAGAATTGGGAACCAATGAAATCATGATCATAAAATGTATATAGCGCTTTATTGTTGACAAGACTGTCCATCTTTATGGCAGATCACTGAGTTAGGTGTCACTTTCTTCACTTTGTAGAAGACGAAGCTGAGGGTGGGGGCGTACTTGTGTGTCCTGCTCAAAGTCTCAGCTAGTTTGAGGCAGGCCTGCAATTTTAACCCATGTTGTTCTACTGCAATTTCAATCCTTGATTGTAAATGCCTCCTTTTTCTTCACCTGGATAGGAGTGTGCTGGTGCCCAGCCAGGGTGAGGGATGCCGAACCCATGAGGGAGGGTGTGGGAAGTAAAAGTTCCTCTTCAAAATTTCCTTTCTTGTTAAAGAATAAATTTGCTAATAAGTCTTTGTTAAGCCTTATCCTGTGTAGCTGTTAGGCATGCTTATAGACACATAGTACAGTCTATGTCCTTGTACTTTAACCAAGATATCTGTGCTGGACGTGCTCACGGGCATGTCCCAGCTCACAGCCTATGCCCCTTCCTTATTTGGGCTTTTCCATTGTTTTTACCTGTTTAGAAAAGTTTTAAGTTATTAGACAATCAGGTTTTAGCTTAGATTGTGAGGTCTGGCTCCAACCAGTGGGGATCAGACACAGCAGTAAGGACAACCCCAAATGCGTAAGGGATAAATATGTCTTCTTTTCCTTTGTTCATTGTACTCTCACGGCACGATGGCTAGTGAGGGCACCCTTCCTGCGGTGCAGGAAGTAAAAGTTGCTTTGCTGAGAGATCCTTTGTCTCAGTGCTATTTTTTCTTCGTGGCACTGAGCATCTGTTTCCAACAGAGGGGATACTCATCTCTTTTAGAAAAATCAAGATCTCTCTGGGTCTTACCTATATCCACTGGTGGTATCTTACAGGTGATTTGCATGCTTCATAAAAACATAATTTATAGGAATTATAAAATTTTATGTGATTTATAAGACTCATTAAACGTATGAGGGAACCAGCAGGGCTCATGGATCCCTCTGCTGTCTCTGATTTGGCCAATCAGCAGTTGGCTCTTTAGGAAAGGCTGCTGTGAGCATTGTACTGGGGTTGGTGTGGTGGTCCCAGTCTTATGCTGATGAACCAGACAAAGTTTCAGGGCTCTGGGGGAGGAGTGGAGACAAGAGGAGCATCCACAAAATCACAAGGCCAGGGTATGACTGAGTTGCAAACCCTGGGGCATTGTGGAAGGCTTCCTGGAGACAGTGGCACTGCGAGGACTCTTGACATTGGGCAGGATTTAAGCAGAGAAATGTTAGAGTTGTGTGGCAGTCCCAGTGAGTGTAGGGGTGGGAGTGGAGTGTGGGTGTCTGGAGTGGAGAAAGGAAGGAAGGCTGGCGTTCTGACAATTCTTTTTTCTCAGGGAATCGAAGCCTTAGGCAGGGCTGGTCAGAAGCTCAGTACATGTCCAGGTCATAGAATTTGAAGACAGGAAGGAATCCGAAAATACTTGTTGTCTGTGGCTGGCCTGTGCCATGAGACATTGGCACCAGAGTCCCCCATATCTGGTAGCAGGAGGAAGGAGGATTCTGGTTGAGGAAGAGGAAAGCAGATGAGGCCTTGCAACTGTCTCCCAGGCCCTGAGCATTATGTTCTGAGAAATACTCCATTTGTAAAGGGGAGGAGGATGCAGGTCTACCTGCAGAAGGTGGAATGGGGTCACATACCAGAATCTTTCTACAGGCAGATAATGGGACTAGCCCTCCCTCAGCCCTGCAGATAAAAGGTTATGGAATCTTTTGACAAGAAAGAGAGAGAGACAGAAGGTCAAGCATCCTGTGACTCTCCCGTGGAAGCAGGAAGAGACAAGGTCATTGCCTTTTCAGCACGTTCTCTTGGTTTTCAAGCAAAATCTTTTAGGTCAGCCCTCCATATTGAGAAGCCTGAGCAGCATGCTGGAGCCCTTTCCTCCCATGTTTCTGTGTAGCCACCGATTCCTGACACTTTTCCCCAGTACATGCCACAGACCCTCAAACCTACATGTCCATAATGAGCTCATCATCTTCACCTGAGCCTGCTCCTGTCTTGGGCTCTCAGCTCAGTCGTGACCTCGCTGGCCCCTAAACCAGAAACAGAGGCATTTTTCTGTCTCCCTTCTCCCTCATCCCCTATTCAATCACCAAGCCCTGCCCCTTTGCCCCTAGAACATTTCTGGAATTTCCCCACCCACTTTTTTATCCACCATCACTAGCAAAGACATCATGTCTTACCTTGACCCTTGCATGGCCTAATAGTCTCCCTATTAGGTCATGGTCACTCTATTAGACAATCCTTCACACTTCCCTGCAGCAATCTTTCCACTCACATCTGGCCACATGTCTCTTGCTTGCGAAACACCCTTCAGTTGCTCCCTGGTTACCTATGGTATCAAGTCCTAGGCCCTGGGCCTGGCATTCAAGGCTTATAGACATGGCCCTGCTGCTTTTTGTAGTACATTCTCCAGTAGTCCCCAGTTGCCTGTTCTATGACAATATCGCATGTACTTTCCTGATAACGCCGTGTTTTGGCTTTTCCAAATGTAATTGACTCTCCCTAGACATGACATCCCAATATGTCTCGCTGGAAAACTCCTATTCATCCTTCAGAACCAACTCTTGTGACACCACCTCTCTGAAGTACTCCCTGACTTGCTTCATACATAAGCATTCCGCCCTCTGTACCGTTTGTGCATTAGCTAGCACATGTACCTCACTGTCATTATTTGTTTGCCTATCTGTTCCCATCATAGTCTGTGTCATCCTTAAGGGCAGGGGCCAAATCTCTCTCTCTCTTTCCCTCTTTCCTCTTTTCCCTCCTTTCTGTCATCTATCCCATCCCTCCCTCTCTCTTCTCCCCTCTTCCTCTTTTCTTCCTCCCTCTCCTCCAATCTTAACCTTCCAGCTGTCGGCTCTTTCCTGAGTGCCAACCAACATGGCAGCTGTGCCCTAAGGTTTGTGCATTTTCACGGAGGCGCTGTCCCTGTCAAGGCCCCATATCAATAGATTCCACAGTCCCCTTGGGATGTGAACTGTAACAAATAGTTATAGTCAGACAATCTCATGGAAGAAGTGTCCTGAAGAAAGCAGGGTAAGGTATTGCACGGAGAGCAACCGTCAGGTGGAGTAGGGTGGGGTGTGGGAGGTCTCTTCTGAAGAGGAGCCATTTGAGTCTTTGCCAGAATGACAAGAGGGATTTGGCTGTGCAAGGAGGGCAAGAGAGAGCACTCCAGGCAGAGAACGGCTTGCTCAAAGGCCTTGCAGTGGGAATAAGCTTGGTGCATGGAAGGAGTAAGCTGTTGGGGCCGCAGAGAAGTGAGCAGGGGAGGTAAGCATGGCCTTGGGAGGTGAGGGCACAGGTCATTCCTAAATCCCTGCCTGTGTCTCGTGAGCCCCCAGCTAAATTGGGATCCCAATACCAGAGCCACTGGCAATCCCACCTAAGGGGAAGTGAAGGGGAGCTGGGCATGGCTGTCTGTAGTGTGCCTCTCACAGATACTTCTTTTACCTGGAGGACAGCCCAACGCCTAGTTGCCTGACCTGTGACCAGTGTCCCTCACACAGAAAACTTGTTTATTCTGGCAAATGCGTTGGTGGCTCCTGTGTCCAGTGAATGCCTGGCTGACCATCGCTCTGAGCCGGAAGCTTATGTTATCCACTGTGTCCCAGAGAAATCCTGCTGGGCAGACCCCAGTTCTTCCTTTCTTCTCTGTAGTTGGGGTCCCCTTTGTTCAGGGATTATCCAGACCATGGCTTTCTCTGGAGACCAGTAATGGTGAAGGGTTCTCTTCTGCTTCTGCCAAGTCACCCCCACTCAGCTCAAGGCCTTTGGCATACCTTGGAGACTTCTGCTCATTGCCATTGTGGGAAGATGCTGATTCGGGCCGGATTCCATCTTGGGGTTCATGCCCTGGGTCTTCCTCTGCCCCACGGGCTCCTTCTGCAGCTTTGTGCATGGTTGCTCCTGCCTGTCACTCAGGCTTTGGCTCACAGCACTTACTCAAGAGAACTCTTTTGGTAGATGTGTAGCTTTAAAATTTTTTTTCTTTTTTTTTTAGAAAATGTAGTACTTTGGATTCAGGGGATACATGTGCATGTTTGTCACAGGGGATACATGTGCAGTTTGTGTGATACTGAGGTTTTGGCTTGTATTGATCCTGTCACCCAAATAGTGAACATCATCTCCAGCAGGAATGTTTTTAGCCCTTGCCTCCTCCCTTCCTCTCCCCTTTTGGAGTCTCCTCTTTCTGTTGTTCCCACCTTTATGTTATGTGTACTCAATGTTTAGCTCCCAATCATAAGTGAGAATTTGTGGTATTTGGTTTTGTGTTTCTGTGTTAATTCACTTAGGATAACAGCCTCCAGTTGCATCCATGTTGCTGCAGAGGACATGATTTCATTCTTTTTCATGGCTGTGTAGCATTCCATGGTGTATATGTACCACATTTTCTATATCCAGTCCACTTCAATGGGCAACTGGGTTGATTCCATGTCTTTGCTACTTTAATGAGCACTGCAATGAACATCAGCATGCAGGCAGAGACCTTCCTGATTGCCTTTTTTTTTTTTGGGTCTGAGATGGAGTCTCACTCTGTAGCTCAGACTAGAGTGCAGTGGTGCAATCTGGAGTGGCTCACTGCAACCCCCACCTCCAGGGTTTAAGTGAATCTCCTGCCTCAGCCTCCCGAATAGCTGGGATTACAGGCACACACCACCACTCCTGGCTAATTTTTGTATTTTTTAGTAGAGACAGGATTTTGCCATGTGATCCAGGCTAGTCTCGAACTCCTGGCCTCAAGTGATCCACCAGCCTCAGCTTCCCATTGTGCTGGGATTACAGGCACCTACCATCATGTCCAGCTAATTTTGTTTTTTTAGTTGAGATAGAGTTTCACCATGTTGGCCAGGCTGGTCTTGAACTCCTGGTCTTGATCCGCCTGCCTTGGCCTCCCAAAGTGCTGGGATTTCAGGCGTGAGCCTTTTCTGAGCGGCACTCCCGATACTCTTCACCCTCTGGCCTTGTGTTATTTTCCTCCCTGACTCTTTCATTCATGTTTGGGGGATCCACCAGTAAAATGCAAACTCTTTGAGGCAGAGACGTGTCTCTTCTGTTTACCCCTGTTTCTTATCCCCAGTGCCCAGAACAGTGTCTAGCACACAGTAGTGCTCAGTAAACATTTTCCAAGCGAATGATGTTTTTCCTTCCCTCCCTCTTTTTAGTGATTCATATGCATGGATTTCTCATCAAAGAGCAGATTGTGTCAAATTCACAGAGCGCTTGACTCTTGCGTGGCTCAGAACTCATTATCTTCCAGCAGCAAGTTGAGAGATTCTTGGACAGACATCTAAACAAACGCTCAAGTTGCTGCTTTGACCCAGCTAACCTTCCGGTGAGTTCAGAGTCATAAACCATTATTGTCTCTGCAGGCGGGGAGTACTGAGGGTGCCTCTTGGCACCTGGTGCCTCTGTCTGAATTAGTAGCTCATTCTCTCTATCTGATGCTGGGCCAGGAATGAGAGAGTTTACACTTCCCTGTGTGAGCCTGCTCTTGGCATCTTTAATGGTGGTCTGTGACCAGAGACACACTCAGAATCAGAGAATCTGAAGCCATTTGTTGATTTGGTTTTAGAGCCCAGAAAAACCAGTGAATGAAAAAGACAGGCCCAGGATGGTATGTGGGCCAGCTGGCAGGGCTCAGACCACTGCCCAGGACCTGACTCCTGACCTGGCGTTCTCCCATTGCTCTGGTCTCCTCTGCCCATCCAAAAATGATTCCCTAGTCTCAGGGTTTCTGTGCTCATCCCTGCCACTTGATAGCTGTGGCTTTTCATAAAATTTATGCAGGAAATGTATTTTTATTTGTGTTCAAATATACAAAACATAAAATTGATCATATTAACCTTTTTTTGTTGTTATTGTTGAAATGGAGTTTCTCTCTTGTTGCCCAGGTTGAAGTACAATGGCGCAATCTTTGCTCACTGCAACCTCTGCCTCCCAGGTTCAAGCAATTCTCCTGCCTCAGCCACCCAATCCCAAGTAGCTAGGATCACGGCATGTGCCACCACACTTGGCTGTTTTTATATTTTTAGATATTTAGTAGAGATGGGGTTTCACCATACTGGCCAAGTTGGTTTTGAACTCCTGAGCTCGAGTGATCTGCCCACTTCAGCCTCCCAAAGTGCTAGGATTACAGGCATGAGCCTCTGTGCCCAGCCTTAAGATATATTTTCAATGGGACATCAAATCTCTAGATATCCCCAGATGATGAAGAAGACCTTAGGGGGTTTAGGCACTCAGAAACGTCAGAGAAAATTCCTTCACTTTCTTTTTGTGTGTTGGGGAGAATCTGCACACTTTCTGTGGGGGATGAGGTAACCAGCAGCTGTCTGGTGCTCCTTGGTTGCCACTGGGCATGGTTCCCTGGCATTCAGAGAAGAGGGCTATGAGGCCCAGAGGAGTCAGGAGGGAAAGCAAGGTTCTCTTGGGCTGGGGTTACCTGCAGGTGGGAGCTTTGAGCTCGGGAAAGCTCCCCTTATGCCTTTGAGCTGCCTCTTACACCATTGAACTAGCCCACCAAAGGGAGGAGCAGGGAAAATAGGAAAAAGATAATCCTGTCTTTGTTATGTGAATATTAGGAGGCACAAATTGAGTTTTGTGGTGCCGGGGTTGTGGCTCAGCCTAAAGCTGGGGCCAATTCACATGTAAGGATTTATCCCCTGTAGAATTAGCCTTTGACTTTGCAGACCTGCCTCGGGCAAAGAAGATGAATGTCAGAGGCCAGAGGACAGAGAGAGATGGACTTCTTTTTGTTTTTTTTGAGATGGAGTCTCACTCTGTCACCCAGGCTGGAGTGCAGTGGTATGATCTTGGCTCACTGCAACCTCCACCTCTTGGGTTCAAGCAATTCTCTGCCTCAGCCTCCAGAGTAGCTGGGATTACAGGTGCCCGTCACCACACCCGGCTATTTATTTTTTATTTTTTGTATTTTTAGTAGACAGGGTTTTACCATCTTGATCAGGCTGGTCTTGAACTCCTGACCTTGTAATCTACCTGCCTTGGCCCCCACAAAGTACTGGGATTACAGGTGTGAGCTACCTCGCCTGGCCAGATATAGGCATTTTTTTCCCACCTTTTCCCTGCATGTCTCAGTGGCTAGAAAGGGCAAAGATAAGAAAGTCCTGGCCTGCTACGAGATCAGTGGGATGGCAGGCAAGGATGCTTCAGCCTCATGGGGAGGCTGGTCCTGCCAGGGTTTCAGTACTTTATTTGCTGTCAAGCTACTTCAGGTGCATTAGTGACTCCTTGATGTGAAATACCTGCTAATTAACAACAGCTGCAATTGCCTCTCCTAGGGGGACTGACACCTGGGCTGGGAGTGCTCAGTCCCAGGAGAGAGGAGGGTGTTAGTGAAAGCCACAGGCTGGGGGGGGAACTGTGCAAAGAAATAGTGCCCTGGTGGGTGAGGTGTCCTGTACCCTCAGGACTAGCATGGTGAGGGTTCAAATTCCAGCTCTGACATTTGCAAGCAGTGTGTGTTTGGGAAAGTGCCTTCTCTCAGAAACAGTTACCGTCTCTGATATGGACCTAGTACCTCACAGAGTTGTTACAGCCTTAGATGTAGAGCTCAGCGCAGAGCAGGCTTATTGAAATCCTCAACAGCTGGCTGAGCAGTGTGCTGGAAGAAGTTGTAATAAGGTAGCAAATCTGGTGTTTCTCATTCATGTCTATGCTGCCTCAGTTTCTCTTGGTGACCTCCTTGGAATATACTGATGGCTGCCTCGGGGGCCAATCATACCTTGGGGCCTTAACCCACTCTGTGTCTTAGTCTACCAGTTTGAAGAATGCTGGGATGGAATAAATAGTTTTCTGATCACTAGATCAAAGGTCCAGGGCACTAGGGAAGTCTGCGGTGTGGCTCTTTTGGGGGTTTGGGGTAGCAGTGGGGAGGGTGCCGGCAGAGAAAAGAAGGCATCTGAGTTTGGCGGGGCTTCTTGGAAAATGTGAGCTGTGAGCCTCCATTTGAATTCCCACGGTCTATCCACAAGGATACTCCCATGTCAACTTTTTTTTTTAAATTTTACTTTGAGTTCTGGCGTATGTGTGCAGAATGTGCAGGTTTGTTACATAGGTATACATGGGCCATGGTGGACCTATCAACCCATCATCTAGGATTTAAACCCTAGATGCATTAGGTGCTTGCCCTAATCCTCTCCCTCCACTTGGCCCACCCCCTGAAAGGCCCTAGTGTGATTTTCCTCTCCCTGTGTCCATGTCTTCTCATTTTTCAACTCCCATTTATAAGTGAGAATGTGTGGTGTTTGGTTTTCTCTTCCTTTGTTAGTTTGCTGAGAATGATGGCTTCCAGCTTCATCCATGCGCCTGCAAAGGACATGAACTCATTCTTTTCTATGGCTGCATAGTATTCCATGGTGTATATGTGTCACATTTTCTTTATCCAGTCTATCATTGATGGGCATTTGGGTTGGTTCCAAATCCTTGCCATTGTAAATAGTGCTGCAATAAACATACATGTCATGTGTCTTTATAGTAGAATGACTTATAATCCTTTCGGTATATACCTAGTAATGGGATTGCTGAGTCAAATGGTATTTGTGATTCTAGAACTCTGAGGAATAACCACACTGTCTTACACAATGCTTGAACCAACTTTTTTTTTTTTTTTTTGAGACGGAGTTCCGCTCTTGTTACCCAGGCTGGAGTGCAATGGCGTGATCTCGGCTCACCGCAACCTCCGCCTCCTGGGTTCAAGCAATTCTCCTGCCTCAGCCTCCTGAGTAGCTGGGATTACAGGCACGCGCCACCATGCCCAGCTCATTTTTTGTATTTTTAGTAGAGATGGAGTTTCACCATGTTGACCAGGATGATCTCGATCAGAACTAACTTTTAATGAAAGGTCTGAATGAAGGTGGTAACAAGAAAAACCCTGGTGCACAGGGTTTCACCATCTCTGACACCTTTCTCTCCACTCCAGGCTCTGATTTGATCTTCAAAATAGGCCTGTGTGGTGAGTGCGAAGGAGAAGTGGAGGGATTTGTTGTTCAAAGGAATGGAAGTAGCTCCTGTCCCTACAGATGCCTTATGGTTTAACTCTGCCTCTGTCTATTAGCCACACAGCTTCTTTCCAATAGATTCCTTTTTTGGCTTAAGCTAGAGTAGCTTCTATGGCTTCACACACACACACACACACACACGTTAACTGACAACCGGTAATGGAAAATCAGTTAACTATAGTAAAAGAATCTTATTCCACTTGGAGCCACAGGGTTGAGATTGCAAAAACCAAACTCAGGGATGGATATTGCTGTTGCTGAATTATCATGTCTCACTAGACTTCATGTGAAGGAAAGGATTTCAGATGGTTTCCACTAACAGGAGGAGCAAATCTTTGAGGGTCTGGAGACGTCATCACACCCACATTGACTGTCCTGTCTTGACCTGTTCGTTGGTCTTTACTACCAGCTTTGAATAGACCCCAGAACATGAGAAGTTCTTGCATTAGTTTTCTGTAGTCGCTATTTCGAATTACCGTAAACTCATTGGCTTAAAGCAACACATATTTGTTATCACACGGCTCTGTAGGTCAGAAATCTCAAGGGGCTAAAATCAAGTTTCCTTTCTGAGGGCTGTAGGTGAGAATCTGTTTTCTTGCCCTTTTCCAGTCCTGGAAACTTCCCATATTCCTTGGTCTGTGGCTCCCATCCATCATCAAAGCCAGCAATAACCAGTTGAATCTACATCACATCACATCACATCACATCACATCACATCACATCACATCACATCATCATCACATCACATCACATCACATCACATCACATCACATCACATCACATCATCACATCATCACATCACATCACATCACACATCACATCACATCACATCATCACATCACATCACATCACATCACATCACATCACATCACATCACATCATCACATCCCATCACATCATCACATCACATCACATCACATCACATCACATCACATCACATCACATCATCACATCACATCACATCACATCACCACATCACATCATCACATCACATCACATCACCACATCACATCACATCACATCATCACATCACATCACATCACATCATCACGTCACATCACATCATCACATCATCACATCACATCACATCACATCACATCACATCACATCACATCACATCACATCACATCACATCACATTACATCATCACCCTGCCTCTTCTTTTGCCTTCTTCCATGTGTAAGGACCCTTGTGATTGTATTGGGCTCACCTGGATAATCTTCCTACTTTAAGGTCAGCTGATTAGCAACCTTAATTCCATCTGTTTCCTTAATTCCCCTTTGGCGTGTAGCTAACTTATTCACAGGTTCTGGGGATT